CCTCTAGTAATATATTTACTGAGAAAAATGTTGACGTGTTCAATACTTATTTTACCCATTTTAAACTTCAGCAGAGGCCACGCCTCCTGCAAGAAATCGATTCTCTACGCATCAAGTCCAGACCCTTGTACAAAGCAAAGTGAAGGACAGGGTCTGGTTTAAACCAGGCTAATATTTTGCTAAAAGGCACAAAAACACGCAGACAAAAACATAATCAGTCACTTCTCATTCAGCAGCAGGGAAGGAGCTAAAACTAGTTTGCTGCAGATTCTCAGCAGTTATCACCTATTCAAGATTTACAGACTCAGACCCTGAAAACAACTTATAGTTTCTGTTTGGTTTACTTTCAAACAAGCGGCTTGTTTTTCATCCGTACATGTTTGAACCAAAAATGACCCAAATGATTATTTTTTTTCCTCCTAACTGCTGTGCTTTGTGTTTCCTGTAGCTTCATCCCTTACTGCTCCAGCGACGTGTGGAGTGGAGCCGCCCCGAAAACCAATCAGAGTAAGAAGTTCTGGTCCGTGACTGTGTGGCTCTGGCTCAGGAAATCTGAGCAATACTTTTCTTAACACATAAATATATATAATTATATGTACAGTTTTTATGTTAGTGTGCAAAACATTGTTCAGAAAGTAAAAACAGGAGTGGTGGATGATAAGCTGAAAACTGAGGCAAGGCACAGACGTCAGGAAAAATGTGATTTTCTTGGTCAAGTTGGGGAATCAATAAAGAAAAACTCCACTAATCTGTCTTAATTTGGCTGAATTGAAGTCATTCCAGACCATAAAGTTTAGGAAAAGCCTTTTAAGCTTTCCCTAAAACCACACAAATGATTCTCAGACCATAAGAAGTCAAATGATCTCATCATTCATCCTGACAACAACTGAAGGCCAAAAACAAAAGTATAATCTGTGGTCACAGAAAGACCCTGTAAATAATCATTAAAGAATCTGTGGACCTGAACATTGCGTACTGAGCTTCCAAATCCGCTCTGCATTAAATATTTGTAATAGTGTAAAGATATGTCCCTGATTATTTTGTTCCACTTAGATAAAACAGAAGTGCGGCCATCTTTGTTTTCAGGTCCACCAGAGCCCCTCAACCTGAAACTAGTTCCCTTCACAAACTTTGAAATCACTTTACAAAAAAAAACACTTAAAAATAATAAAGTCCTGTCAGGCATAAACAAAAACTTTAAGAACAGAAAATACATTTTAATGATCTGCTTTGAAAGTAGCTGACATAAATGAAAAGACAAGTTACAGTTAAAAATAATAATAAAATCCTGCACTTTAATATTTTACAGGCATTTTGAAGAATTGTTTATCCTTTTATTGATTATACATTTCAAACTGTTTCATCAGCTTTTATCTGTAGGTATTTGTCCCACCTGTAGTTTTCTGTTAAATATACAATGATGTGTAGCTATTTTTTTGTCTTCCAGTAAATTATTTTTTATATTTTTAGGTGATTATGCCTTTATGGGCTCTCTGATCATTAAGGAGGTGTTGAATGAGCTGCTGACCAAAGGTCTGCAGAACGCCAAGGTTCTGCTCCTGGCAGGCAGCAGGTCGGTTCAGAACTACTGTGCTTACTCCAGTCGGTGGTCCGGTTTCTTTATCTGAGCTCGTTCTCCTCCCTGACAGCGCGGGCGGTACAGGAGTCCTGCTGAACGTGGACCAGGTTGCAGAACATCTGGAGTCCGAGGGCCACCGTGGGGTCCAGGTCAGGGGTCTGGTGGACTCAGGGTGGTTCCTGGACAACCAGCAGTACAAAGTGACAGACTGCCTGGACACCATCAGCTGCGCCCCCACTGAGGCCATAAAGAAAGGCATCAGGTCAGACGCACATCGTGCTGTGTGAGAAACAGACCGTAACAAGGACTGAGGGGAGGTTTTAGGAATAACTGGAGAAACTTTCTGTTTGTGCAGGTTCTGGGATGGACTGGTACCAGAGAGCTGCAGACAAGCTCACGTTGGAGAGGAGTGGAACTGTTTCTTTGGATATAAAATTTACCCAACGTTAAAACGTGAGACGCAACCCAGCCTGAGTTTCTCCATTTGAGCAGCTGCAACAGTTTCCTTTAAAGGGCCAGTATTAGGTGTTTCTCAGGCATACATTTAAATACTACACCATAATAAAGTATCTATGTCACCTTTAGTTGTTATTAAAATGCTGTTTGTATGTTTAAATAGAAAATAAACTTATCTTCTCATCACTTCCTCTTCTAAACGCCTTGAAATTGGCCTCTGTCTCTTTAAGAACCACCTTCCGCTTCTGTCCCGTACATTTCAGTCCGGGGGGGGAGGGAGCTGCTATGATGCAGTTTACTTGGCATCTGAAAATACATTTCCTCAAAGGTATTTTTAATCTGAAAAGAGCTTCACTGAGTGAGAACAAATGTTGAGAGCTCAGCAGACAGTTTAAGTTTCACTTTCAGTTTCACCTGAGAGCGTGCAGGTGTCATGAGCGGGGTGTGTGGGGAGGGGTGCCCTCTGCCATGAGGAAGTTCAGCTTAAAGACACGTCCCAGGGGCGTTTCTGGTC